TTGGTTGTTGGTAAATTGTCAGTTTGTTGTTAGTTAGTTGTAGTTACCTGTGAAGTTGGTGAAGGTGAGGGGGGTGGAGCTGCTGTAGATCTTACCAGTTGGAGGGTGGTGCAGTGATGTAAGATGGATCTGATTGGTCAGACTGGGGATGTTGAGGGTGACTGAGGCCACGCCTACAGACAGGAAGAGGACATGTCTTACTTCAGAATAAAAGCATGTTGAAGCAGAGAACAGAGGCAGTGAGCCATCATTACCTGGTGTAGGAGACGTCTGCAGCACCGTCGGGCCACCCATCATCGGGCCCAAGGTCAATACTGGTTGCCCTGGCAACGCAGCACTGACCAGGGACAGAATCTCAGCCGGTAACAGAAAAGACGGTGCCTCTGGAAAACAAAATGATCAATTACTCTGAAATACTAATAATAAAACAACTCAAAACAACTCAAAACAACCAATGAAACCTGACACTAATCAATCAGTTTCCTTTAATCATTTAAAATGTCTTTGTATCAGTCAGTTAATGAGTCGTTTAGTGAGTCAGTTAATGATGCAGGGGGTTAGTGAGTCAGTGAGCCAGTGAGCCAGTGAGTTAGTGATTCAGTGACTCAGTGAGTTAATGAGTGAGTGTTTTGTATATTAAAGTTTTGCAAGTAGGAAATTGTGTAACTTGAAACAGCAGATCAATAGTCAATCAATCAAAGGATCAGCTCCATGCTGCAGTTCTTACCCTCCAAATTCTTTGTGAGCAGGGACGAGGGTTTAGCTGGATTCTTACTGCGAGACAGGATGTTGGGGACCGTCCTCGGCCTGTCTCTCAGCAGTGATGCATTTTGGGATATCCCGGCAGGAACCTGGCTGGGCGTCGCCACATTACTGTTAGTCCGGACAGGTGTGGTGGTGGGAGGGGCAGACAGAGCAGTGGGAGGTGCTTGTTGCTTTAGGTTAGAGGATGTGATCATGATGTCGTCATCAGTCGTGTCTCCTGAGGAAGGCTCAGAAGCTCCGCCCCCTGCTGGCAGCCGCTTCCTCTGATTGGACGACAGGTGCTGCATCTTCCTGAGTCTCTGCTCACCTTTACCTGCAGCCACAAGCACAGACACGTTACAGCTCCACCTACAGGTCAGTGACGCCCACAACAGCCCCAACTCACTTTTACTATTGATTCAAATTTCTGACACATCGGTTTGTTTGACATTCAGTTTGAGGTAATGATGCCTGATTGATCACCTGATTGATCAACGATCAGACAATCAGTTCTGTCTGCAGTTTTATCTCCAACATGGCCGCTGTTTTAAACTGTAGTCTGTTTAAAAGCTTCATTATGTAACTTTACAGGAACATTATCCTGCTAATGTTCCTCTGATTGTAAGAGTGTTTCTCTGGGCTCTGTTCTCGCTCTGTGGAACTTTGGGTCGGAACCACTGCTTTACAACAACAACAATAACAACTGTCAGTGATTCTGGTGAAACTGGATCAGATTTTATTGGGAAAATATTTCCTGGTTTTCCTGATGTCCTCCGACTGCTCAGTCAGTGATTTCATCAGTCAGTAATGTCAGTCAGTGATATCAGTCAGAAATTACAGTCAGTAATAGTATTAGTTTTTTTAGTTTTTTTGGGCCTTTTTTTAAATTGCCTTTATGATAGAGATAGACAGGAAGGAGGACAGAGAGAGAGGGGATGACACGCAGCAAAGGGCCACAGGTCAGATTCGAACCCTGGGCCACTGCAGCAAGGACTCTGCCTCGATACATGGGTCGCCAGTTCTACCCACTGAGCTAACCGGGGGGCCCATATCAGTCAGTAACAATCAGTCAGTGATATCATCAGTCAGTAATATCAGTCAGTGATATGCTCCCTTTAGGCAACATTATTAGGAATCACTCCATTAACTTTCATTGCTATGCAGATGATACACAGCTATATCTATCAATCAAGCCCGATAAAATTAATCAATTATCTAAATTACGAACATGTCTTAAGTAGGCCTGTCACTATAACAAATTTTGCTGGACGATAAATTGTCCCAGAAATTATTGCGATAAACGATAATATTG